CCACAGATTTTGCCAGAATTCTCCACAGATTACTATTAGCTTCATTTATGAGACTGCACAGAGGACTGTGAAATCTCCTTTGAACTCTAAGGGCCAGATGGTTTTGCTGTTAGATCCTAATGACCCACAGCAGTGTGCGTACACAGACACCACGGTTGCCAGTTGACCGCAAACATGCAATGGAGGCAGGAGAATTCATGACCTGTGATTCCAAAACACAAGCCAGTCCTGCTTGGGTGGAGATTGCATCCCCCCTTGCTGTTACTGGGGTAAAAAAGCATTTCTGCTACCCCCTCAGAGGGAAGATCGTTTCTAAAGCAAGCCATGAGCATACCTGGACCCAGAGGAACGAATGGCAGGCACACCGTCGCGTGCAGTCCAGCATGGATCTCTGCAGACGGTCCTGAAGCTGGAAGCAGGTTTTGCCCCGAGGCAGGGGCTCTCTTGCAGTCTGTGTGGGCCCCTAGTCCCAGCATTGTATCGCTCTGTGCTGGGAGAGAGGGAGAAAGGCTGGACTCAAACCAATTAAAGCCATAGGGCAGAACAGTAGTTACTCTGCTGTCATATGGAACTGCTTGGAAGACATGATTTATTTTGGATTATATTGGTTTCAACTGGTATAATATGAACTTCCTGATTTTTCGAGGATGTGTAGACAAAAAGACTAAATATGGTTTTACTCATCTTTTAATTTAAAACTACAAGTGTTTGGGTGACCTATGAAATTATTTTAATGATCTCTGCACAACACTGAGCTGTCAGCACTATAAATGTCATCCTAACTGGGTATTAGTTTCCATCATGGTCATTTAGTCTCACCAGCAGAGCTACCTCCATGTCTTGTCTATGTCAAGCTGTGGGAATAAAACAGAGAGTCACTGTTGCCAAGAAGCATCAGTCAAACATCTTCATAACACTTTGGTTTGAAGAGGAAGACACGAACACAAAATCTAGAAGCACTGTGAGTGTGCAGCTTGCCCTTGGAGCTTCGGGCACAGCAGTTGGGATGATTTGCATTCAAACCAGTGCTTTTATCGCTGATCATTAAAAATGTGTTCCAGCATTACTCATACTAGTTGACACAGACTTACCCTTGTCCTTCCTTGTTTTTATAATGCTATGAGAATTCACAGGGTAAGAAGTACTCCAGTGAATCAGAAGTGTGACAAACTGAATTTGATACAACTTTTGACCAGTGGTACAAGATGAATATGGACTCAACACATGAGGCTGCTCTTTTGTTCTTGTAGAGAAGGCAAAGAAATTGTTTGACCAGTGACTATATAGGCTGTAAGGATGCACCTAAGATACTGACAAAGAGTAAAGTAATAGAACTTGGAAATAAAATAAAATGAGAGATGTGGTGACAGAGGAGGAGTGGAAGAAGTGTTTTGTGGAAGAGAAACAGTTGAGCTTTGAACATCCAAACCTTACAGCAAAGATAAAGCCACCAAAAATCTTGTGTACTTTCCTCTTCAGGTGGTTTATCTTTTTTCTGTTCAAAGTTAGGAATCTTATCCTGAAGTTTTAAATTATTATCTTTTGCCGTAGCTCACATACTTAATAGTTTAAACACAGCAAAAGAAATTCTGCTGTATTTTGGATTTGTTCTTGTATTGTAGACATTTAAATGGCATGGTCAGAGGGTTTTTCCAACACTTATCACTTGTTCTTTCTGTCTCATAGAGATTTAAGAAAGCTACTCTAAGGTTGACTTGTACTTGCATACAATGTAAAAAAACCTGAACTTTGCTTTCAAGTCTATGGGATTTCAGCTGATACACATTCAGTGTACAATAGCTGGTTTTTGAACTTCGGATAAAAATGAAACATGGAAGTCCCAAGTGGCATGAAGCTCCACTTATATACGATCACTGACTTAATTGAGAGAACCTCTGGCAGAGCACAGGGTCTGCCATCTCACTCTGCATGCTCCTGGGGGGATACATAATAGTTCAGAGCTCTCATGTCTTGCGTACAACTTTATTTTACTCCAAAGCACCTCTTTAAAGTCTCTTGTCTTGGCTTTTTTATGGTTCCAGTCTTTTCCATAACCAAGACAGATTCTCTTTCTTTCCAGCTAGTTGAACATGCAGTTGCAACACTCTTTTGAATCAGAAGTGTCTCCTTTGAAGCTCTGAAAAGATCTCTTAACTCAGTGAACACAAAGCTTAGTGAGTCGAGGCGTTTCTGTCTGTAGCAAAAAGTTTCCGAAGGCTTCACATCCACAACAGTTGAAGAAATGAAAGGGGGTGCTTGGGAAATCGCTCATTATTCCCGTATGCCTGTAGACCTCTTCTGGGCTGGGGTGACCTAAGTGAGCGGACACTGCAGTCTTCTCAGGACTGGACCTTGCTTGATTTATCCAGCCTGCATTTGTCCGAATAGCTCTCCCACGCAGCCAGGCTGAAGCAGGGAAGGCCATGTCCCTGAAAACCAGCACTTCCAGTGATTCAGCTGCCCCAAGCTGGAGCCCTCAGCCTGGCACAAGTGGCCCCAGCTCCCGGTGTGTCAGCGGAGTGTGCTGTTAATACCAGCTGCTTTTGGGCTTTCGTAGCTGTGCTTTTTCCGTTTAAGGGAGAAAGCAAAACACACGCTGAACTCCAGATCCCAAATTCCAGTGGAAACCTAGCCAGCAGTAAGCAAGTACTGCCAGGGAGCTCTCGACAAGAAGCACTACGATAGCAAAGGTCTTGAATGACTGACTAAGATTCTTGACAACCTCGGTCAGTATCAGAGACAGTTTCCAACTGGGCAAAGTACAATATTTTCCCTCTGCTTTTTATGAATGGCTGGATAGGATTGTGCCAGAGTCAGAGTCCCCTGCGAAAGCCATTCATAAAAATAACAACAAAACAAAACGAACACACACAAAAAACTTTGTAGGTCCAGTCCAGAGCCACTGGGTGCCAGAGGCTGGGAAAACACGCTGGCAGCTTGAGCCCCAGCTATCACTGAAAGTATTCAAGGGGCTTTTTGGTGGTCTGAAAAGTATGAAGTGCTGTGTAGAAGGGCAGCTGGTAGAATTACTGTGACACATACTAGGCAGAAAGCCAGAGCTGGCCGTGTTTCAGACATTGTCTTTCCTCTCATTGAAGTGTCAGGACCTAATTCATGGAAAATTTGGTGAGTTGGCAGCTCTTTCAGAAGATTTCATTGAGCTACAGTGTGTGAGAGTCACATGAATGCAGAGTGCATGGCCAAAATTATATGGGGATATCTGAGCAGGAGAAAACAGTCAGCCTCGAAGAATGTCTGCAGATTTCATGTGGTTTTGGAGTAAACATGTGTACAGGTGTAATCAGCAGGCAAAAAAAGAAAATAAAGCAGAAAAGCACTAGTAGCAGATTACTGAAGAGCTGAAGAGTTCTGTAATTACGAGGGATTACTTTGAAACAAATAATTCCTTTGTTCAAGGGCAGCAAAGGTCTATTAATGAGTTCAGGGCTTGCAGTCCACCTGGAGAAGGCATCAATAAAATGTGTGCCTTGGTAATAGCTTCTCCATTGCAAGGGAATTTAATGGAAAAGAAAAGGGTCCAGCCTGAAGTTTAAAGATGGACCCGGTCATCACATAATTTTTTTTCTCATATTTATTTGAGAGCAGAACTTGGAGCCTGAGGCAGAGGTATAAAAATATAACAGCAGTAGGATTCCACTGACTTAAAAAAAGACCGAAAATAAACAAAGCATCTCTTGTTAAAAAGGGGTGCTGTGGTGGGCAGTCTGAATTTAATCAGTTACATTTAATTTCCATTTTCATTGATCCTTCCCACTGAAATATTGCTCTGAAACGCCAGTTACACTAAACTGTTTATTCAGAAATATTCTGGTTATTTCCTACTACACTGTCATGAAAATTAGGTTTTTGGCCATGTAGAGGGACAGCTTGTTGGCTTCTGCCCAAGCAAGGCACTGAAATCACAGCTGGGATTAGGATCAGTCAGGAAGGAAGGGCAGGAGGAAATACACTTTGAAAACAGAAAGTCCTGGGGGCAGGGGAGGCAGCAGCTTTGCCCCACTGAAATAAGAAAAGCCCTTTTGTGCTCTCTGTGTCAGGATTTTATCCTTTATCTGTGGTCTTATTGTTCCATGCTGCTCCTAACACCCACAAGAGTTGTTACATCACCTGGGGTGTGGTGGTGGTGTGTTTTAAGTGCGCCTGCATTAGTTTCTTAATTGGTACTCCTCCTTCTCCCCGGGATGGGGATGAAGGGCACTGGCACCTTGATGGGTTTCCTGACTTGCATGGGGTTTCCCGTTCCTGGGTGGGAGCAGTCAGGAGGGAGATCTGCTGAGGAGCCCGTGGCTGTGCCACCAGGTCCTGTGTAGGCAGACAGACACGGCCTCCAGTTGTCCCTGCCACGCACCCAACCAGCCTGGTGATGGGCATCTCTGAAATCATGTCAGCAGGCTCACGAGGATCGACACAGCATTACCTTCATTCAGCTGGAGCTCCCAAACCAGAACTTCCCAGGGCTGGAGCCGCTCCCTGTCCAAGCCTCCTGGCTTCTGCAGGGATGGCTTTGGTCCAGTGGGAAGCACTGGCTCAGCAATGGTGGTGTATCCCTCACCTCTCTGCCTGGGCTATGCTTCTGCTCATGGCCAGGATGGAGGGCTTCCCCATAGCAGGACATTCCACTTGTGGCAGAAGGAGTGTGGAAAGAGAATGTACAGCAGCAATGGAGACAGCAAAATCTAGTTACAAAATTAGGCCAGACGTAACATGCTACATGAGAATTCACCTTGGTTTTAATTATACAAACAGCATATTCCTCTGCATCCACAGCAATCTGAACTACTTCAGAGCAAGGTCACACAGATAAGTGTAGGAAAGGTTGGTTGTGAGAGCTGGGTGTGTTCATCGCTCCATTTCTGAATGTGGGCTTTGCCTGCATGTTGTTTCTATTGCTGAAAACATTTTTCTCAGCATCCGTGAAATCACTGTTAAGTGACCTCAGTGAAGTTTGTTTCTCACCGTGCTCTTGTTCTTCTTTTCAGCCTCAACAAGTGGTTCAAAAGAAGCCTGCTCAGGTAAGAAAAGCTATTTTAAATTCTTTGAACTACTTTCAAAGAAATAATTCTACAGTATTTAAATTTGTCTCCTTTACTGCAAAGAATGAAGGGAAATACATCAGTCATATGAGCTGGGGGACAGCTGTTGGCTTGCTCGGCACAGCCACCAGAACAATTCACGCAGTGGCCCTAGGGAATGAGAGGAGGAAGCAGTGAATGGTGCTTGCTCAGGAATGTCCTCTTTCTGCAGCAGCCACCTTGCGATGATAATGCAGGCACACACACACGGTACAAGCCCAGTGTGTGATAGGTGTCTGTGTGTGTCCTGAACGTGGGTAACTGGGGACTGCTTACAGCAAGGAGGGTGCACAGGTATAAAACCCTTCTCCCCACTGGTCTAAAGGAGTCTTTAAATCCACGGAAGAAAGTAGGCTGAACTTAGCGGCTAGACTGAATCCGTCATAAAGACTAACACATTTGAACTTCTCTGATGGATGGTGTTATTCTTCTTTAATACCTTGGCCAAATGTGTAAGCTAGAGTGTCATGAAACTGGTCAAACACTGCATTTATGATCGCCTCCATGTTCTTTCCCCAGCCCACCCCATGCTAAAAAAAACCAAGCACCCTAACACTGGCAGTGTTAGACATATAGACCAACATGGAAAGCCTGTGGGCATGGGAGCAGGCCCATCCCTGCCTGGCAGAGTCCGTGGATTTGCTGCTGTACCTTGGTAAATATGGATGATTGCTGAGTCAAGAGCATAAAGGGTCCCTTGCTTTTCGGGAAAGAGGTCTGCTTTCAGAAGGGAGTAATACTTTTGGTTTTCCACCTTATTGTTTTAATATGTTACTGTACAGTGTACATTATCGTAGTGTCTGCTGTAATCTGAATTAGGAGCCGTTGCGTAAGAAACAGAAAACATCCTAGCTAGGAGCTGAAGGGTTAAAATGATGTAACTCCCAAAAGCATGTGCAGGAATCGGGTTTCTACAAAAGATACCAATACAGTCACAGCAATGATGAATCCATGGCACTGGCAATAATATTAATGTTTCAATGGTGGATAAAACCTACAGGATGAATGTAGTAGTATTTTCAAGTGAGGTAAGTTTTGCAGGGAGAGGTAATGTCTTTCGTTAGGCCAGCTTATGCAAGAAACACAACATCAGTCCCCAAGGACTTACCATCTATAACTTTCTAACTACACCATACAATTCAAAACACACAAAGTTGTTCTAATAAGAGATATTTCCTCTCCCTGGTGTTGCTTACATCCTTCAACTGTTACGGCCACAATCAGGCTATTTCTACTACAGCTTGTTAATAAATCTGCCAGTGGGCACAAAGCCAGCCATCTCCTCCGTGGCACCTGAGAGATAGGGAGGCTTAAACCCTGCTGTGCAAAGGAGGCCGAATCCGGGAGGCAAAGGCTCTGGGAGGCTGCTCGTGTGGCGGTTTCCTCTGGTACGTAGCAGAGCTTATCCCCCCTGGGGCCAGGCGGGTAACAGGGTGGAGAGCTGGTCCTCTGCCCACAACCTCACCTGGCAGAAGCCATTGCTGCTGACGGCATGTGTGGTGCTGCTAGCTCTCCCATCTCCCTGGGCACTTACCCCTGTGAGTGTTTCATTTGTGTGGTTCCCTAGCACACGAGAGGAAGGAATGGCTGGGCTGGGGTGTGGGAGGACAAAGAGAGGACCAAGGTCTCCGTCTTCTGGTAGCAGAACAAAGTAATGACAGATTTAATTGATGATGAAATGATGTAGGCATTTGAACCTAAGCACCAAGGTTCCCTGTGTGCATCTTCCCGTCCCTTCTTCTTTCCCAAAGCGATGAGTCTGGTGGGGATGCCGTGGGGTGTTTCAGCTGCTGCTGCTGCACAGTGCCTCGGCAGCACCTCCGTGGTCAGAGACAGAGACACAGAGAGAAAAGGAGGCTGTTTGACATTCCCATTAGTAATGGAAACATTTGTATAGGAAATGAGGAGGCATGGAAGAATGCATGAAAGGAGAGAGAGGGCTGTTTAGAAATCCCCAGTCATCACAACATGGCTAGTGAAACTACCCTCTTTAAATTATTTGTGTGCCGTGTCTTCACTCAGAGAACATTTCTTGGTTTTTAATCCTTGGCCTGGGGGATGTTCAGTGGAATCATTGACTTATCTTTAACCCTTCGTGGTTTTAATAGGCCCTGCTCCCACGCTTATGCTAGCACAATATTGCAGTTTTGCTGGATGTGGGTGCATGGCAGAGAACAAAAATTATCACTGTGAACATGCGCTCATGACAGTGTCTTCCTGAGGCTGAAGGAAGGAGGAGGTAAAACAGCCTAATTCCTGGGACGATCAGGAACTTCATGCTGCTGGGTTTCGCTGAAGTCCCATTGCCTTTCTCCGTTTTCATTTTACACTACTGATTTTCCCTTTAAAGGAGGGACGTTGAGACTCAGAATTAACAATAAGAACATGAGCTCATGCAGGCTTCCTAATCTGAGCTGTCTAAGGAAATAGTGATAAATCGTGTAAACATGGGGACTACATGGAAGTTCATGGAGGATAATGTAAATCTTACACTACATTCAGAGGAATCTCTTCCTTTTCCATCTGTTTCCTTCAAAATATCCTCCCAGATGGCTTTACCATGTGGCAGTCTGGATTAAGTTAGAAATGTATCCTTTCTACATCAGTGGGGACTGTAAGAGGTTACAGTCGAGAACTGCTGGGTGATGGTTGAGCATGTTACCCCAGTCTGCCTTGGTAAAAAGGGACTTGGTAGCTCTTGGTCAGGTTTCACCCCTGAGTGCTGTGCCTTGAATATCAAAAAGATATCTGTGAGCGTTAGTTTACATCACCGTTGCTCTTGTTACCGCTGCTATTACCTATGCCTCTTGGGTTTCTCTCATTTTTAGAAATATAGGAACAGCAAGACCAGATAAAATTCTCATTTGATGAATAACAGCTCTGTTCCCATCACTGTTTCCCAGATTTTAAGCACCGTGCAGGGCTCCACCATGCTCTAAATCTCTTTATGGATATCTGCTATCCAGTTTAGGTCCATACAGATGCCTATATAAACTTCTGCAATATCTTTAATCATCCCCAGAGCTCTGAAGATTTACCATCACACAGACAGTAAATGCAACAGTAAAATCCCCTAGAAAGCTACACACCCATGTCATTAATACAAACGTGTAACTACTGTGGTCTATACACATCTTTGTGATGATCAGTGGCACTCTCACACTTCCTTGGGGAAATGAGGAAAAGATAGCCACCCTAACAGCATGACATCAGAAAGTTCAGCACCTTCACGTAAATATGGGCCTAAACCTTAAAAATGAGGCGCTCTTTTGAAATCTGCTCTGTTTCCAAAGAATGGACAGCCGGATTTTATAATCATGATGTAGTAATATTCTTACCGAGGTGTGCAAATAAATGAATAGAAATTTCTCCATTTCCTCATTTTTAAGCTATCTGTAGCAGCTGTAGCCTCAGCCATATGGAGGAGTTACACTCTTAAACAATACAAAGGAAATACAGATATTTTTAGGAAAACATCATGAAAGCTATCAAAGTTTTCTGGAAGCAGAACATGCTTTATTTTTATCATTTCTGGAGAGAAGAAATACTGTGAGTGGAGAACAGCCCCAGACCTGCTACAGGGCCCTCAGGCTCAGTGCTCTGCCTCCCACTACCACCAGACAGGGGACAATGCTTGTTTGAACTGGTCTGAGGTTTTGCATAAAAAGCTTTGTGATGAAATAACCTGTTTTTATTGAACCTTTTCCCCATAGATTTCCTTGGAATTTTTGTTTTTCCGAGGCTTCACAATATTGTGATCACTTGGGGACTGAGTTTTTTAAATCAAAACATTATTTGGTTGTGGGTTTTGAAGACTTCTGCTCTGCGAAATCCTTCAAATTTCTGCTTCTGAGTGTTCTGGAAACATTTTTCTGATTTGAAAACATCATTTTAACAAATGGATGAAAATGTCATGGGAAGTCTTGTGAAAAATGGCTCCAATTTGAAAATTATGTTTCATTGTTACCAGTTCTGCTGTTTATATTTCAAGCAACATGTGAGGATTGCTTGGTGTGAAATGAAAAAACCCAAAATTAGAATAATAACAAATTTGTGGACTGAAGCCAGAATCATTAAGAAATTAGACGGATGCCTGAACTGCAGGAATGGACCTGCCATTGCTCTGGGAGAGGTCTGAATTTGATTTTAAGGGCATCAGGAAAGTGTCTTGCTTTCTGTGTGGATGCAGTAGAGGGAGTCTCATGGAGGGTGCTGTGCTAACCTTCTGTCTCCTTCCAAGGTAAAATTACAGCAACTGCATGATGCAGTTTTCAGAGGAAGATGTATTCAGTCTTCTTTTACAATCAGTTTGTTGTGACAGGGAGTCTGAATTGTTTGTCTGATGATTAAAAAAAAAAAAGAGCACAGGTTTTCGAAATAAAAACAAAAAAGAATCTGGGGAAAATATAGAGGTTGCAATGACCAGTCCTATGAACAGATGAAGCACTAACCCATGCTGCAGAATGAGGGCTAAAAAAGGAGGTCAGGTGTTTCCGACAGCAAATAATTTGTTATTTATATGACACAACTTCTGAATAGACTGTGAATAATATAATTCAATGAGGCTACACCTAAATAAAAATGGGGGTACTGATAGACGAAAGGCTGGACATGAGCCGGCAATGTGCGCTGGCAGCCAGGAGGCCCAACCATATCCTGGGCTGCATCAAGAGAAGCGTGGCCAGCAGGTTGAGAGAGGTGATTCTGCCCCTCTACTCTGCTCTGGTGAGACCTCACCTGGGGTACTGCGTTCAGCTCTGGAGCCCTCAGCACAAGAAGGACATGGAACTGTTGGAGCGGGTCCAAAGGAGGGCTACAAAAATGATCCGAGGGCTGGAGCACCTCTCCTATGAGGACAGGCTGAGAGAGTTGGGCTTGTTCAGCCTGGAGAAGAGAAGACTGCGGGGAGACCTGATTGCAGCCTTTCAGTACTTAAAGGG